TGACAATGTTGAACAAGATTTAACAACTCTCTGAAAGTATGAACTGGAGGAAGACGGCCGTGAAAAATGACCGGTGGTCAAGCATCGTTGTAGAGGTCAACACTTGCAGGAGTCTGTAATGCAATTCATGACGATTTTTCCCACATTAACGTGAGCCAGACAGGTCTGCAGACCGTAAGTAGAATATGATGACGTTTGTTATGACGTTACGTGCACTGAAAGACTGGGATGGGCATGGCCAACGGTACTGGATTATTAAAATTTATAAGAAAGTCAAAAGAAAATAAAGTCCAATTTCAGTCAGGATATAAATACTTCAAATTTCTGCTCGATATCGGATAAGCTTTTGTGACTTATTACTTACTTACTCACTAATGGAGCTGAGCCCTTCTTGAGAAGCCACCAATTGTGCAGCCACTGAAGAATTTCCCAGCATTTTATGTAACCCGAAGGTTCATTACCGTGTTAACAAGAGCCCTCCACTGGTCTCTATCCTGAGCCAGATCAATCCAATCCATCCCATCCCATCCTATCTCTCTAAGGGCCATTTTAATACTGTCCACCCACCTACGCCTTGGTCTTCCCAGTGGTCTCTTTCCTTCTGGCTTTCCCACCAGTTTCCTATATGCATACCTCGCCTCCGCCATTCGTGCTACATGACCTGCCCATCTCATCCTCCTTGACTTGATCATTCTAATTATACTTGGAGAAGAGTACAAGTTATGAAGCTCCGAATTCTTTTGTGACTCTTCCTTTCCTTACTTCTCTTCTCAGACATTCTTTTCTTCTCGCTCACAGTCAAATTTTCAATATAATTATTAATTTATATTGATAAGTAATACAGTACCACCAAATATTATGGTTGAGCAATTAGCTCTATTACTTCGCTCTCAGAAGTTCGCAGTTAGGGTTAAGACCCACAGCTCAGTTAGTTTTATAGGACTTCGAGTGCTTCACTTCAGTTCCTTCATGAAATTACCCTGGAATAATTTATGACCGCTTTTTTCCACTTCAATCCAAATTACTCAAATTCGATATTATACAAACTATTTATTTATATTTATTTTTCTAAATAGTAATAAATATATTTTTCTTTAACGAGAACATGATGACAGTTATGTGATTTGTGTCATCACTGAAGAAGACATAGCAGGCCAATGTTAATTACAAACATGAATATTCGAAACGGTATATTCAATTACAAGAGACATCACGAATAATTATAGAAGAATGAAATGAACAAATATCACATCAGAGGGCACCAGTAATTCCCAATGCTCCCAGTAAGCTGGTAATTACTTTGCATGCTTCCTGTACGCCCTATTTAGTGGCCTGACCGACTATTAATACAGCACATTAGCATTTAATTGCATTTCGATACCAAATGTAACTTTAAGTTAAATGAGTGTTTCTGGGTTAAAACGTTCATGTAGTTTAATTATGGAATAAATTGCTTCCTTTTTTACAGAATTATATGACAAAACTCTAAATTACTTTTTGTAAAATCCCAAAGAATAAGATCCCATAATTAAATTATATGACGTAAATGATAATAAATAGAAAAAATATGAAAAGTGTAAGTGTAAGTGTACCATCAATATTGTGCTCCCAAGAAGACTGGGATACTTACAACAAGGAAGATAGTATTTAAACATATTTGTATTCTACAGGGAGATGCAGGGATTTATGAGGGAAAACTGTATTTATATCACGTCACAGTACAAAATAGCGTAATCTCTTTCTAATTATTAAAATATTATTCTAAATAAATACATGAATAGGGCACAATGGATTATCAGGAAAATATCAATTTTGTGGTCTTATTTCATGAGGACGGAGGCAGTAGGTTTTAGACTTGTCCAAGACTGCACTATATCGTAAACCAGAAAAATGTAACTTACGCTTAAACTATCGTGAAAACCTCAAATTTCATATGGACAAAGTGAATTGATATTAAAACTCAAAGAAGTATACAAGTTTATGAGTACAGGCACAGAAGGGTTAAGAAATGAATAACTTATGTGTAACGGAAAATTGAAAGTTTGAAATAACAACAGGCATATCCGCTGCGCTGCCGTTTCCTCAATTTGCGCTGCTCCATTCAGTAAGATTTATTCAGGCTGAGCCATAGCTTAAGCGGTTAGTCGCTGGCTCCCCACCGGGGCGGCCCGGGTTCGATCCCGGGTCTGGTCAAGTGGGGTTTGTGGTGGACAAAGTGACGCTGGGGCGGGTTTTCTCCAAGTACTTCGGTTTCCCCTGACAATCTTCATTCCACCAAATTCTCCATCATCATAAAAACCCGGGGCGGGTACAATTGGCCAATCAGTTGTCACCGTGCCGAGTGGACCCAGCTGGATTCCAAACCCCACTAAGCGAATTAAAAAAAAATTGTTCAACTGAGGCTGATAAAGATTCTGGGAAATTGCGGTTGCATTGCTGGTTACCATTTTCTTTGGTGTGCCCTCGCCCTAAGAATATGAAGGCTGCTAAACTCTATTAAATAGTATTATTGTTGCAGCTTACATGACTTGTTGAGAATATTATATTTTCATTGCTTGATTCGCGAGAAACATAACAGAATGAGTGCTAGTTTACTGGTCAGCCGTGAGAAAACTTCAACCTGCTTACGCACCGGCTCCGAATTAAAAATATATTCTAATTTGTTACTATCTGAATGCCCAAGATGAGAGATTGTTCGATTATTGGGGCGATATGCGCATTTCTCTAGCATTTGCAGGTTATGTTTGCATATAATTTTTAGTGCGAACCACACGACCAAAATTTTAAAATCAGGATCTTACTTATACGCAGTTTCTTTTCTATAAAGTTCAGTTATTCGATATCTAGTCAGCACCCTATTTATTCGTTTCCTTGCCCTTTAATACGTCTGTATTTCTTATTTTCCTGCATGTTATAGAAAGAATGATATTTGTGACAAAATTTCTCAAAATCTACCAAATTTTTGGAGTAAGAATATACTTTAATCTAATTTCGTTGATTTATAAGGTGTTGTATCAGTTTGTGCGACAGTTCCCTTGGTAATTTTTGAACCAACTAAGAGATTTTCGTGATGTTCGGTACGGGTTACATGTCGCTGGAGGCCACAACATAAAACTTCTAAAAAAATTACAATGATTCATGTCCTTTTTCAACCAAATTCTGGATGCAAAATAATATATTTAGTGTATATAGTTTTAGTTTAGTTTCTTGGGGTGGGGTGAGACTGAGTTTACTTGGTATGTCTGCCACTAATTGGTCTGTTGTACCGGATGATAGATGATGAGTGTGGAGTAATCGCTGAAATGAGAATTGGCAGGGGAAACCGAAGTACTCGGAGAAAATCTGCTCCAGGGCCAAATTGTCCACCATAAATTCCACATGACTTGACCTGGGTTCGAACCCGGGCGGTGGAAAGCTAGCGACGAATCGCCTGAGCTATGGCACGGCCTTCTATTCTATGTAAGTCTAACTTTATTTTAATATGCCACGAATCTGTCAGGCTCGTGAAAGAATGCATAGGGACACGGAACGATTTAGGTGTAAAGTTTCTCTACACAATTCTTTTACAGCTCTTCAAAGAAATCTCTGTTCCATGTCACTGGAAAATCATTGCATCAGACGCGAAGAAAAAAAGTTTCAAGTAGAAGCCATTGGAACATTCTAGGAAAGAAGAAACAAAAAAAGGGGTGGGGGTGGGGGTTAGGGAAAGAACTTTAGTATTGGCAAATGTTTAGAAATAGCTGGTGCTACACTACGGGATGGCATATCCCAGGGGGAAGTAGGTGGGGTAACTACTGCACGTCCTGCAACCGAAATAGAAGCTGCATGGTAGGTAGGACTGCGGCTAGCAGGAGCTATGTGACATGTTACGAGAGTCACTGGAGGGTGATTTAGGACTGGAACAAGCTATTTCTAGGAGCGGGATAATCGATAGTTCCAACAGCAAGAATACACCATAAAATTAACCAATGCTGATTCCACAACCATCCAGGCAAACGAAACTAAGATGATAAATTTTTTTGCATTCTGTACGCTCTTTACTTTGTCCTAATACACGTGAATCCAAATACTAAATTTACTTGAATAATACTATCTTCAAGTGTGCGACGTCGTGTTGTCCAATTCACTGACATTTCAAAGGAATATGAAAACTGAGACGTGAAATTCTATCAGACTACACGGCCTCACATCTCAGGAGAGAGTACTATTCATAGTCACTGCTGTGATTGTCTCAAATCTAATAACTTTGTTCGTGACTTTCCCCAACTATGAAACTTGACCTCTCACATTACAAAGGAAGATCTTAGAATGAAGCTATATAAGAAAATTGTTCAGGGGAGAATAATTGGGCTTAAGTGAGAGAAATAACAAAAACACATGCAGAAAATAATATTATGTTGCTAGGCAACACGTCGATAAACAGCCTAAAACCTGGAATAGCAACAGAAGCGGAAATACATTTGCTAGTTAACGGCTCACTAGTTTCCCCTTTAACGGATAACAGAGGAACTGTTTGAGATGAAGAAATATATTTGGGCCGCCTGGAAGTTATAAGAGTGGCAATTCATTCGTAAGAAAGTCAGAGTGGATGTCACATAAGGACTATGAAAGCAAGTATTCAGTTGAAAAGAAAAAATGATGGCGGTGAGTCTCAAGAGGCTTGGCGTCAAGACGAACTGATTGACGCTAAACCGCCAGCCGTAAAGCAGCTCTCTGTAGGAGAGTTTTTTAATGCTAGTGGGGTGGGACTAAGTCCCTTGTACTGCGGCCACTTCTGGCCTATTGTACCAGCCCCAGATGATAGGTGAGGATGATTGTGGAGCAAATGGTGGAATGAAGATTGGCAGGGGAGACCGAAGTACTTGGATAAAACCTGCCCCAGCGTCACTTTGTCAACCACACATCCCACTTGACCAGACCCGGGATCGAACCCGGGCCGCCGCGGTGGGAAGCCAGCGACTAACCGCTTGATCTATGGCGTGGCCCCTGTAGGAGAGTTAATACGTACCCGGCGTAGGGGTTACCGTGACCCAGAAGGCGGTTTCCCCAGGGTGAGGCCCTTCCGTTGCATTACGGTTGTCTGACCCCTGCGATTGCCCCAAATGTGGATAACTCGGGCGCGTAATTTTGGGTAAGAGAGTTCAGTGTATGAGCAGTGATTCGTCGTTTGTCATTCGTCACAGCGGAAGAAAAGACACTCATGGTTCAATAAGGAATGGAGGGAGGCTTAGACAGCCACTGATTGTGAGCTGTCACAATTAACTGTAATTGTAACAAAGTGCCAATAAATCCAATCATATAATGCAGAACCCATTATTATTAGTCACGCTAACCCCAATACGTGACAATACAATAAAGACCTTTATAATTTAAACCCTTAACAACATATTATTATAAAAAAAAGTAAATTAAGGGAGGAGCGATATCTAAGACATGGCAGCAAGAAGAGAAATTTTAGTCTAAAGACATTAAAGGAAGAAAGAATTTGAAAGATATGTAAGTAGGTGTAGATAGAAAGATAGTACTGAATTGGATTTTAAAGGAATAAGATAGAATAGAATCGAAACATTTATGGGCGATAACGTGACATACATGAATATATCAGATAATCATTCAATAAATGAATTAACACAGTTTCAGGTAATAACTTGCTTTTGTCTCACAGGAGTATGGTTTCACCAATCACAGAATAAGTTTAAGTTTAATTCATAAACCACTCAGCTCTCAGCTAGCCTGCAGTAAAACGAAGTGAGAAGTGCGCAAACTATGCATATTTCAACACAAAGCTTCACATGCAAGAACACATAGTAGTCCTAAATTTGGTCGACGCTTTGTCAGGCAATATCCCTGTAAACACTGTCCAACATGGAACAATAGAGCAAGCTGTGTTTTTGAAGATCCGACCGACGCGCCAATAGGCTGGCTGGATAATGATCACGTGATATATGTTTACTGTAGGTCCATGTCCACTCCGCGGCTATACGACGAGAACAGTGAGCTGTAAGTTCAGAGAGAATTGTAACTAGGAGTACAGAAGAACTAAAAGTCGGCCTGAAGATTTAACGTATGATTAGAAGACTTTATTTATATATAATATTTGGCGTGTGTAATTCAGTGACACTGCTGTAGTTCCCGTGTTATAAATCCGCTAAGACTAGTCCAAATACACTGAAGAGATGATTGTGTAGTGTGTAAATCACCAATAGTGTAATTATTAATTGTAGTTACGAGCTGTAGATTGTTAATAAATATAATTACCAATTCGAATCCTTTCTTTTGTCACTAATACATGTGACAATATCTATAAAGTTGTATAGCAAATCGAAATATTTCTCGATATAGCTAAATTAAAAACTTATCCTTTTATTAAGTAGATTAATGATGTAGAAGGCAGATGCGCAGTTCCATATATTTAACTTCACACTTCCGCTGCTCTACCCCCGGTGTCTACTGGATTCCAGGCCAGTACCTCTATCAATATAAAGGTATTTCACTTGAGTCACATCGCAGTGAAATATCGGTTCCCATTAATTTTTGCAGAATCAGCAGCACTGCTCTTAGATTAACGAGGGGCTCGATAAGGGGGCACTAAGTAATTCTGAGATAAGAAAGCGAAGTTCAGTCAAGCGTGTGATGACCAAAATTTATAATTGCGTATCGAAAACAGACGAAAACAAAAACATTTCTCGCGTTCATGGAATGAAAACCTGTTTTAGATAATCGAAAGATTTGTTACACGTTCATTTCCTTCCCCTTTCCTTCCATTTTTATTTTATTTCAGTTCTCCTTCTGCTGTTTTTAGGTTGACAAAAAGACAAGCAATTAGGGAACTGTTTGGTTATTTTTCATTCACTCAGTATTTGCAACTACAATTTAGTGTCATCGCCAGTCGTTAGTTAAGCGTAGCCATTTGCTTGATTGTCAAAAAGCCTTTGTTCTTTGCCAGTAGGCGTGTTTCGTCATTGTTTCTGTTCATTCTTCCAACACGGAACATCTATTTGGTTTTTGTAGTTCTGATGGCTCATCTGAAGGCTTGAAGATCCTGCCCAGCAAGAGCCCAGTAATCTGATATGGAGAACTTACAACTATTTAAAAAAATAAAAGATATAGTTACAAAACAAAAGCAGGGCATGTAGCACGAATGGGGAAGAAGAGGAATGCTATAGGATACTGGTGGGAAAGGCAGAAGGAAAGAGACCATTGGGAAGACCATGGCGTAGGTGGATGGACAATATTAAAATGAATCTTAGAGAGATAGGATGGAATAGTATGGATTGGATTGATCTGGCTCAGGATAGGGACCAGCTGAGGTTTCTTGGGAACACGGTAATAAACCTTCGGTTTCCATGAAATATTGGGAAATTCTTGAGTAACTGCACAACTGGCGGCTTCTCAAGAAAGGCTCAGCTCCATAAGTGAGTGAGTGAGTGAGTGAGTGAGTTATAAGACAAACAGAAGTTCTTGATCTTCAAACGACAGGACTTCTTAAGAAGATAATGTATTTGATACATAAGCAGTTGATATTGTGGAATAAGGACCGGCATCACTGTACCTAATGATACATATATTTATGATGACCAAAAAAGCAGATCAGAAATTCAGTTATGGGCTGGAATATCATTAGTCTGCGGTTAACATGACATTGCACATGAATGAAGTACAGACATTTCGAAACGAGCTGGTGGTTACCCACACAATTTACTCGGAAAGCAATCAAAAGTTCACGCTCGGTTTCAAACCCCTTCCACTGCTTCAAAATTACTACTGAATGCATTTCCATATATAATGTACATGGTCAGGATTTCTTAGCATTAATGGTACTATAATACTGTAATATTCTTTAATACCAGATATCTATCTATCACTGTAACAGGCCATGGGGGACCATTGATGTCTGAGACGTCGAGGCTCCCACATTTTGTAGACAATCGGCTCACAGATGGCGGTGAGACTGTCAGCCGTATACGGCGGCTGTCCCTTATCCCCCAGGAAGATTCCTGCTCTTTATTTCTGTTACTGGCTGAGTCAACCCCAGGGAAGGATTAGGTCAATTGAAAAATCCCATGATCTCATCGGGAATCGAACCCGCGATCTTCCGGCTTGTAGCATAGTGCCTCAACCAACTATGCTATCGCGTGCCCCCGTTTAATACGAACACTAAATAACTTGTCTTCGTTATATACTCGAATTAACAAATCAAGGACAAGAAGGTTGGGATTTGTATCATGCATGGGAGAGATAAGAATTGCTTGCAAAATTTTGGTTAAGAAGCCCGAAGGAAGAGACCCATTTTGAAGAACTAAATAGAACGAAAGGTAATATCAAGTGAATGTGTGGACAGGAGTCATCTACCTCACAACAGAGTCTAGCTGTGACTTTTTGTATACACGGTATTATGAACACGACAATAAACTTACGGGTTTCAGAAAGAGCGGGAAATATTTTGACGAAATGATTCACTAACAGCCTCAACAAGAAGAAGTCTTGTCCACATCCTTAAGGAATTGTTGTTTAACGTCTTCCTGCATTAGATAGACCATTCACTTGACTAAAACGATTCTACTGAGGCCTGACAATAAACGCTAAAGACATATTTCGCCGGTCACGGTAGCCGAGCGGTCTAAGGCATGTACTGTCTTCGCTCGCTTGGAAACCGGGATCGTGGGTTCGAATCCCACTCAGGGCATGGATGTTTAGTTTGTATGTGTGCGTTTTTCTGTGTTTGTGTAGAGGTAGAGGCATTGCGACGAGCTGATCACCCGCCCAAGGAGTCCTACCGAATGTCTAAGATCTAGAAAAACCGAAGTGAACGGAGAAGTTCACGGAGGTAGGCCTAGACCCACTGGAGCTGTAGAGCCAAGGGAAAAAAAAAGACATATTTCAGTATGTAAATTAATAAAAAATTACAGACATCTCCCTGTTTGTTACTGTGGTACATCCATCTAGACTTGGTATTCTCTATATAAAAGCAACGCTCACTCAAAATCCACGTGAAACAGCGCCGTAAGGGTCTATCCCCCTTAAGGAAATGTATTATTCATTTTCTGTGGCCTGGATTCGCCGATGGCCTCTTGGGAATCTTTCGAGGTAGGTATGTGACTGCCTGCAGCTACTGTGAATTGTAAATTAATCAACTCCTTAACCGGGCTGAAAATAAATCCATAATTATGTAAATATCAGCCGCATTCCGCGTCACCCTTCATTATTTCTGTCATCATGGACTTCTATGAATGCCAAAAGGGCCATACCACGATTCTTAGTTAGTAAATTAACTTATCGGACGTAGGCCGCGCCATAGCTCAAGCGGTTAGTCGCTGGCTTCCCACCGCGGCTGATCAAGTGGGATTTGTGGTGGACAAAGTGGCGCTGGGGTGGGTTTTCTCCGAGTACTTCGGTTTCCCCTGTCAATCTACATTCCACCAAATTCTCCATCATCTTAATCACCCGGAGCAGGTACAATAGGCCAATCGGGGGCCGCCGTGCCGAGTGAACCCAGCTGGACTCCACCCCCCACTAAGGGATTTAAAAAAAATAACTCATCGGAACGTTTCTAGCTCTTTTACTGAATTAGGAATAGCATTAGAGAAGTCATGTCCAGCTGTCTTTAAAATACAAGAAACCAAGCTGAGTTATATATTTGCGCTACTTTTTCTTCTTCTTTCTGTGGGTTAATTTACGATTTGACTATCGACAGAGCTAGTCCCTATCTAGGTCCGGAGATAGGGACTAGCTCTATCGCTTGACGCCAGCTGATTAGGGCTTTATCTGAGAATTCAATCTCCGAAACTTTGTTTTGAAATAAAAAAATCAGGTAAATGTAAGGTAAAGTTGCCCCTATAACAGGCCGTGAAGGTCCATAGGGGTGTGAGAGGTCGAGGCTCACAAATTATCTAGACTATCGGCTCACAGATGGCAGTGAGGTAGACAGCCTTACGCGCCGGCCGCCCTTTACCCTCCAGGAAGATTCTTGATACTCATTTCTGTAAGAGGCTGAGTCGACCCCAGGGCTATAGTGCGGCTGGAAGGATTAGGTCAATCGAAGAAATCCAATTACCTCATCGGGATTGGTTTCCGTGATCTTCCGGCTTATAGCATAGTGCATCAACGAACTAAGTTACCGCGATGGATAATGTCCAAAAAGTCAATAATCATATTAATATATCTT